TTAAAAGATGATTTACATAAACAAAGCTGGAAAGACGTGTATGTTGATGATGTGAACAGATCATATGATGAGTTTATGAATATTTTAGGAGCTCTGTATGAAAATAATTGTGTGCAAAATAATTATACAAAGAGAAATGTTGTTGACCAACCATGGATGATGAAAGGGTTGAGAAATGCTTGTTTAAAAAAAATAATTATTTGTATACATGTTTTTTGAAATTGAGAACACAAGAGGCTGAAGAGAAATATAAGAAGTATAAAAATAAATTAGTAGCGATTATAAGGAAACACAAGAAGGAATATTATAGTGATTTATTAAATAAAAGTAATGGTGATATGAAAGCTACATGGTGAGTAATAAATAGTGTTCTGAAAAGTCATAAAGCAAAAACAGGTATTTCACAATATTTTTTGAAGGATGATGATGAAATCCATGATGAAAATGAAATTATAAATGGATTTAATCATCATTTTGTGAACGTTGGATCAAGCCTTGCAGCTAAAATACCAAAAGTAGACAATAATGTGAACCATTCAGTTATAGGTTGTGACAACAGTATTTTTCTTAATGGAACTGACAAAGAAGAAATAATGAATGTAGTAAAAAATCTTACAGATAAGAGATCAAAAGACTGGGTGGACATGGATATGATGTTTGTAAAGGACATAATGAGTTATGTTATCGAGCCGTTTACATATATTTGTAATTTATCATTTTCAAAAGGAATATTTCCAGACAATATGAAAGTAGCTAAGGTAGTTCCTCTCTTTAAAAATGGTGATAAATGTGGGTTTAATAATTATAGACCAATATCCTTATTACCACAGTTCTCAAAAATTCTAGAAAACTGTTTGTGACCAGATTAGATAAATGTATTACTAAACAAAACATTCTAAGTAGCAGTCAGTATGGGTTTAGAGCAAAAAACTCTACATCAATGGCTCTCATGGAATTAATGGAACAAATTACTACTGCTATCGATCAAAAACAATACAGGTCCTTCTCAAAAAATTAGCATATTGTGATAAAGGTCATTATTTTCCATAATGTAATGATAAAAATGAAACTTTCATATATTTCAGATTCATTGCACACCAACTGAAATATTTCAGGTCTTTAATTGTTTTAATACTGATGATTATGGCATACAGCTCATGAAAACCCAAAATGCCTGTCTCAAAAAATTAGCATATCATGAAAAGGTTCTCTAAACAAGCTATTAACCTAACCATCTGAATCAATGATGTAACTCTAAACACCTGCAAAAGATTCCTGAGGCTTTTAAAAACTCCCAGCCTTATTCATTACTCAAAACCGCAATCATGGGTAAGACTGCCGACCTGACTGCTGTCCAGAAGGCCATCATTGACACCCTCAAGCAAGAGGGTAAGCCACAGAAAGAAATTGCTGAACGAATAGGCTGTTCCCAGAGTGCTGTATCAAGGCACCTCAGTGGGAAGTCAGTGGGAAGGGAAAAGTGTGGCAGAAAACGCTGCACAACGAGAAGAGGTGACCGGACCCTGAGGAGGATTGTGGAGAAGGGCCCATTCCAGACCTTGGGGGACCTGCGGAAGCAGTGGACTGAGTCTGGAGTAGAAACATCCAGAGCCACCGTGCACAGGTGTGTGCAGGAAATGGGCTACAGGTGCCGCATTACCCAGGTCAAGCCACTCTTGAACAAGAGACTGCGTCAGAAGCATCTCGCCTGGGACTGCTGCTGAGTGGTCCAAAGTTATGTTCTCTGATTACAGTAAATTTTGCATTTCCTTTGGAAATCAAGGTCCCAGAGTCTGGAGGAAGAGAGGAGACACAGAATTCACATTGCTTGAGGTCCATTGTCAAGTTTCCACAGTCACTGGGGTGTTATGTCATCTGCTGGTGTTGGTCCACTGTGTTTTATCAAGGGCAGGGTCAATGCAGCTATCAGGAGATTTTGGAGCACTTCATGCTTCCATCTGCTGAAAAGCTTTATGGAGATGAAGATTTCATTTTTCAGCACGACCTGGCACCTGCTCACAGTGCCAAAACCACTGGTAAATGGTTTACTGACCATGGTATTACTGTGCTCAATTGGCCTGCCAACTCTCCTGACCTGAACCCCATAGAGAACCTGTGGGATATTGTGAAGAGAAAGTTGAGAGACGCAAGACCCAACACTCTGGATGAGCTTAAGGCCGCTATCGAAGCATCCTGGGCCTCCATAACACCTCAGCAGTGCCACAGGCTGATTGCCTCCATGCCACGCCGCATTGAAGCAGTCATTCATGCAAAAGGATTCCTGACCAAGTATTGAGTGCATAACTGAACATGATTATTTGAAGGTTGGTGTTTTTTGTATTAAAAACACTTGTCTTTCATTGGTGGGATGAAATATGCTAATTTTTTGGGACAGGCATTTTGGGTTTTCATGAGCTGTATGCCATAATCATCAGAATTAAAACAATTAAAGACCTGAAATATTTCTGTTGGTGTGCAATGAATCTGAAATATATGAAAGTTTCATTTTTATCATTACATTATGGAAAATAATGACCTTCATCACAATATGCTAATTTTTTGAGAAGGAACTGTATTGTGTTAGTATTTTTTGTTGATTTTAAAAAAGCATTCGATACTATTGACCACACTATTCTCCTTGAAAAATTGAATAAATATGGTATAAGAGGACCAGCATTACACTGGGTATCTAGCTATTTGAAAGATAGGATACAGTTTGTACAAATAAATGGTGTAAGATCTGAACTCTGCAATATCACATGTGGAGTTCCTCAAGGCTCTGTACTTGGACCAAAGTTATTTATTTTATATGTGAATTACTTAGTAAATGTATCAGGACTCCTCAAATGTGTCCTTTTTGCAGATGACACCACATTTTTTTTGTTTGGGTAAAGATATAAAACGGATGTTGGAATTGATGAAGACAGAATTTGATCAAATACAAACTTGGTTTAAACTTAATAAATTATCATTAAATTTAAATAAAACTAAATACATGATATTCAGTAACAAAAAGAGAACTGTTGATGATCCATTTAAAATTGGGGGTGTTGAGATTTGTACTTAATGAGATGAAATTTTTGGGTGTAATCATTGATGAACAGCTAACATGGAAAAATCACATAAATTCTGTAAGAACAAAAATATCTAAATCTATTGCAGTATTATACAAAGTCAGGGAATTATTAAGTGATAAAGCTCTGTACATGTTTTAAGATTAAGATTAAAATTTTGGAAAGATACATATAAATACGTAAAATTGTCATGAGTTATTTATTTTGTTATATTACTTATAGATGATTATTGTTTGAATTGATTGTTTGAATTGTTTTTGTTTTAAACAAGGGGCAGATATGACGATATTTTTTTCTTCTTCTGCTACCTTGCATTTTATGACTTTTTTTTTTTCATTTGGTTTCTAAATTGTTTTTGTGTTTTAAATATGAAATGAATAAAAATGACAAACAAACAAACAAACAAACATGTTGTATAACACAATCATTGTTCCACATTTAATCTATTGCATTGATGTTTGGGGGAAAGCATGTAAAACATTTACAAAACCTATTTTTATTTTACAGAAAATAGCTGTAAGAATCATCACCAGAAAGCATTACAGTCACCCATCAAGCACATTATTTTATCAACTAAAGTTATTGAAGTTCCATGATTTGGTAGATTACAGTATTTTATCAGTTATGTATAGGGCTCAAAATAACACATTACCATTAAATATCCAAAGAAATTTTGTTAAAAGACAAAGTTGTTACAATCTTAATGGGATAGAGATATTTGTCAAACCAAAATTCAGAACTAGTCTGAAGGGAAGGTCTACCTCAATCCAAGGAGTTGGATTGTGGAATGTTCTAGAGAGTGATGTGAAAAATGACAAGTCAATGTGTACATTCAAGAAAAAGATCAAAGCTGAATTGTTAAAAAAAAATATATATATATATATATGAAGTAGCTTAATGTGTATTGTATTGGAGTTAGAAAAATCAGAGTTATTCGTTTTGTTCTGTTACTTGAAGATTATTATGAATGAACTAATTGTTTGAAAAAAGGGGCAGATATAATAAGATTTTTTTCTTCTTTCTGCTGCCTTTCATTTGAAATCTCTTGTATTTTTTTATATAGTTTATGGAATTGTTTTGTTTTGTTTTTTAAAACGAATAAATTTTATACCATACCATTTATACCATTGCTTGTCCTTAGTTGGACAACAGAGAATTGAAGCCTTCAGGTGCTTCAAACGGTGCCACGCGACTGGAGCAAGAGTGGAGAAGAGTTCAGCTCAGAACCATGAAGTGAGGTGAGGGAGGAGGGGGGGCTAGGACATCTGACAGAATCGGTGCTGCTGTACACAACCTGCTGTTCCTCTCCAAAATAGTGATTTTTGTTGTGTTTACAAATGTAAGTAAATATTGATGTATAAAAACCCGTTAAAATACACCAAAATGCAGGAAATGGCATCTCTGTTATTAAAAATGTTCTGAAATCTGTTATGTGAGTCACACGCTGATTTGTCGATTGACTCCAAAGGAAAAAGAAATGTAGAAGTTGTCAGTCAGAGTAGGTGGCGCCAGACATTTGAGTAGTCTGCCTATTATTGAGGAGATAGCCACTGGGTGTACGTACATCTAAAAGAGTTTCAAATGTTTTGCTTTCTTTTTACAAACACCAACACATGAAATCCTGTCATTCCTGACAAACTGATGAAACAAAAACAACAACTTCAGCAGTTGAAAAAAGACAAAACAACTCCCATACAAGGTCTTTGCTTATCCACATCATCACTATAAATTGCTTTATAGTAGTTTGTCTTGTTTTGTTGAAAATCTCCCTTCTTCATTTAAAAAAAAAACCCTGTTTGTCTGAAGTAGCTTACCATTGTTAATGTTTGAACTGCTGTAAGTTAGTATTAAAACTGATATTTTATTTATTGTTGATGGGGCAGGTTTGCAGAGTGACTGATACAAATGGTTTCTTGTGTTCTACAGACCAAGTCCATCCTGAGAAGAAAGTCTGGTTCATCTAACTGCCTGTTCTCTGGTTCTCCTCCTCATGGCCAAGTCCAAAGACCCACTTTAGCTCAAGCATAGGAAGTCCACGTGTGGCCTTCATGAATTTTTTGCAGACATCTGGTGAGTCTCCTGCTTCTCTCAGGTTTCATAAAAGCAAAATAAATCGCACAGGGACTGTTTGCTCATTATGGGATGTTTGGTCTTGGTCCATATTAGCCAAACATTTGCTGTATGCTTAATGTAAAGGCTGAATGAATGGATCCATGTTTGGTCTTGTGAGGATCTGCTGTGAGTTTTATCCATGTGTTTTTAGATCTTAACTGTCCGCCTGCAAACCTTGGACAGTAAAAATGTTTGTACCCCATTTAGGACTGAAGAAGGGAAATTAAAAATGTCTTCTGTCTGTGAATGTTGCAAGCATGATAACTTCAAAAATAAGTGAGGTACCAACCTCTTTTTTGGTATTTTGCTGTGTGGCTACATTTAGGTGTAAAAAAAGTTTCCTTTTGAAAATTGGGTTGCTGTGCAAAATCCAAAATTGTGCTACAACAGTGTTCCCCCTACCATTATACAAGCAGGGCGCCCCACCTAGGCTACCAAACCGAACTGCGTGCACACACACACCGCTCCCCCCCCAGTGCACTGACGTAGCACTAAGCTAGCACCAAGCTAAGCTAAAGGTAGCTGAACCCTCACGCTGACCCCCCCCCCCCCAAAAAAAAAAAAAACCAAAAACTGTCTGTACGCACAGCGTACAGTTCAGACGTGTGTCCCCACCCCCCGTCCCCCAGTCGACAAAAATCACGAACATTTGACATTTGGGGTCAGGGGCAGTGCGTGTGTGTGTGGGGGGGTAAGACTGCCTGGTTGGGGTCTGGGCTGTGGGTGGGCATTGGGCCTTGGGGGGCAATTGGGGATGGGGCCGGTGCTCCGGTTCTCCCTGGGTTGTTCGGATTTTTTGATCAGGGTTCCTGGTTGCGATGACTGGCCCTTTGGCTGGGATGGCTGCCAGGTTCCAGTGAGGGGTCAGCTGTGGTTGTGTGTGTGTGGTCGTTGGTGGTGTATGGCAGTGGACGGGGGCGTGGCTTCGCTTTGACGGGGTGCTGGCTGGTCGGCCTGGTGTGACATTTGCGGTGGGGGGTGCTGTGTGTATGGGGGGTTGCATAGGTGGCATGCTGGGGCTTCTCTGGGCCTGTGGTGTGGGGCTGTTGGGGTGCCTGGTCCTTGGTGTGCTGGGCCAGCCTTCCTCAGCTGCTGCTCCCTGCTGCTCTGGCCCCCGGCCTGGGGCTGGCTTGCGGTCGCTGTCGGGTGGGTGGGGTGCATGGACGACCCAACAGAGGCTCTTTCGGGCTGTCTCTGTGTGCCTGTTTATGTCGCAGGTTGGGTTTTAGGTGGTCCCCTCTCATGGATCAATTTGGGCCCCCCATTTAATGTGGGGTTTACTTCCCCCTGTCGCGATCCCCTCCCGTGTTGGGCCCCCCTGCTGCCGGTCCTTTGGCGGCTCTCAGCATCTGGGGCTGGATGGAGAGGTGTGTGCAGGCCTGCCCTGGTGGCTGCCTGCCGGGGCCTGGGTGCCCTGGCTCTGTCGGGCCTCTGTTGGGGGGTGGTATGACCTCGGGACCTGGGGCTCAGTGTCCATGGCCGGATCTACTCTGAAGGGATGAGTTGCTGGCGGGGCCTGTGGACTCATCGCTGCAGCCTCCTGGGGTTTCTGCATTGTGGTTGCTGGGGATTGCCCGGGGCTTCCCTTTGCTTCTCTCTCTTGGGGTGCAGGTGTCCCTGTTGGGGGACTCCCGGAGCTCCAGGCTTGGGGACCGCTATGTGTCTGTGGCTCCGGTCTTCCTTGTGTTACCATCGTGTCCTGTGGGGATGGGTCTGTGGGTCCCCACATCCACGATTGAACATTTTTATCGAGAAACCTTATAGTGATAAGCATGCTCACACAGGTGTTTAGATTCAGGTGTTTATCAGATATACACTCAATTGTGTTGTGGTGGCCACTAAATATATATTGTATTACCATGTACTTTATAAAATACTTTCTAATGATGTTATTAGTATCATTATATATGTTGCTTGTTGTTGTGGTTTCTCGGTTTGGTCTTGTTTTTTTCTTTCAGCAGGTCTAGAGGCAGACTTCAATGATGTTGATTTGTGTTCTCTTTATACCTCTCTCTCTCCTCTATTCCTCTCCTTCTTTACCTTTTAACCTTTCTCCCACTTTTCTGCTTTGTTTTCTTCTTTGTTTTTCATCCCCATGTCCATTACATTTGAAACAAGCCCAAATCAAATTCTAATAAAATTTAATTTATATATCAAGTGGAGCATTAAGGCCAGCCCTAATGCTCTGCTTGTGAAAGTAAATCTGTTGGGCATCACTTTGACACTCAGATAATAATTCTGAGTGTCACAATGCCTGACAGGACAAGCGGGAAAAAAAATCACGGACAAGATGAGCACCCTGCCAAGGCAAGTTATCTAGGGGAAACACTGTACCATATATGTACAGTGCATCTGGAAAGTATTCACAGCACTTCATTGTTTCCACATTTTCTTGTTGAAGGCTTATTACAAATTATTTTAAAATTAATTTCTTTCTTCAAAATATTTTCCTGCAGGATCAATAAAGTTCTATCTTTTATTAAAATTCTATACACAATACTCCATTATGACAATGTAAAAAAATGTTTTTTTTTATTTTTGCAAATTAGTATTTCTATGATAGAAGAGAGGTGAGTTATTGGATCTGAAAAGTATAATAATAAATCGTCTGCATATAAAGCAACCCTATGCTCTGTACCACCACGAGTTACCCCCTGAAACAGGGGAGAGGTTCTAAGAGTTACAGAGAGAGGCTCTATTGCTAACGCAAAGAGCAAAGGTGAGAGTGGACAACCTTAACGTGTACCACGTGATAAAGTAAAATAGTCAGAGTTCAATGCATTGGTATTCATAGATGACTGTGGTGAGGTATATAAAAGTTGAATCCAAGAAATAAAATTGCTATCGAAACCAAATTTTTTTAGGACAGCAAAAAGGTACTCCCATTCCACTCTGTCAAATGCTTTTTCGGCATCAAGAGAAATTACAACCTCAGGGCAACTGTTATAATTTTTTGGAATATATTATATTAAAAAGATCCTGATGCATGCTCAATAATCCAGGTAGAAAAATCCAAAAAAGTTCAATCTGGTCCTATGGACATTAAAAAAAAAAAAAACAAAGCAAAAAAATATAGAAACGTTTGTCTCTCATCCGAGAGACTTCCTCAGTCAGAGGTGCTGTATTCAGCTCAGTCTCTTAAATAGCACCTTCTCAGAGTGGATAAACCAGTTTGCTGCTGACAACCAAAACCAGCTGCTCACATGCTCAAGAAGGACCATCAGCCTAACAATGGATCATTAGCACACTGATGGCTGTTTACTATTCACAGGGGGTTGAGTGATACTAGCAATAACAGCATTGTAAGCGGGGGACAACTGAGCACGGAGTGGGGGAGTGGTGGCACAGAGGTTAGAAGGTGGGCCTGTGATCGGAAGATCGCCGGTTGAAGCCCCGGTACCGACAACATCAAAAATGTGGGTGGGGTAGGTGAAGTACCCACACTTGCCCCCACCCTCATTCGCCCCACTCTGGGCCCATGAGCAAGGCCCTTAACCCCCATCTGCTCCCTAAACGGGTCTCTGTTGAAAATGAGTTCTCGTGGCTCAATGAGACTACCAGTATAAATAAAGCTAAATGAAAAAAAAATGAATGGCAGGTTGGCTTTCTTGGACTGTGAGGTCTCAGTCTCTGATAGAGGACATTTGCAAACTGAGGTGTATTGCAAACCTACATACACAGACCAGTATTTTCAGTTTGACTCCCATCACTCTTTGGAGCACAAGTTAGGAGTCATCAGGACTCTGTACCACAGAGCAGACAGCGTCCCCACTAACTTAGGAGCCAGGCAGAAGGATAAATCCCACACAAGACAGGCTCTAGAGAAATGTGGATATCCTAACTGGGCCTTCCTGAAAGTTGAGAAGAAACCCAAACAGGACTCCAGTCAGTCAGCAGGTGAAAAGGAGGAACCCAGACCAGTGGTCATTCCGTATGTTGAGGGAGTATCAGAGAAACTGAGACGTTTATTTTCTAAACATAACGTCCCAGTGGCTTTTAAACCCCAAAATGCATTACGGCAATGACTGGTTCATCCCAAAGATCAATCAACCTTTATTTATACAGGTAAATCCCATTGAGCCTCGAGGACTCATTTACAAGAGAGACCTGATTTCAACAAAGAAAGATGACAACAATGGACAACAGCAACAACAATAAGCAGTTATAAAAACTCATACTAGTTTTTTTTTTTTTTTTTTTTTTTAACAAATAGGATGGCTAAAAGGGAAAAAGGTAACAAAAAAAAAAAAAAAACAGCTAGATTCCAAGACAAATGTATAAAACTAAAAACAGGAACATGTCTGCATTGGTCCCTGCCAGGAGTCCAACAGATTCTTAAAGCCACTTAGAGAGGTCGAGAGCTTCAAATCTTTTTGTAAGATATTCCAGGAAACAGGAGCGGAGTAGGATAAGGCCCTTTTGCCTAGTTCAGTCCTCACTGAGGGAACACTGCAGGTAATAATGTCCTGAGAGCGCACTCCGTAGCTGCACTCACGCAGAGACATGTAGGAGGAGATGTATGAAGGCAGCAGACCAAGAAGTGATTTAAAGATGAAAATGTACCAGTGAGAGAGTCTGCGTGAAGTTAATGATGTCCAGTTAACCAATCCAGCTCCCCAGCAGAAACTGGTAATATTGTGTATGCTGTTCAGTGTCAGGAGGGTTGTGCTCAGTCTTACATCGGGGAAACTAACAGCCACTGGCCAAAGTGACGGCCCAGCACAGAAGAGCAACATCATCATGCCAGGACTCTGCGGTCTACACTCATCTCCAGGCCAGCGGTCACTCTTTCAGGGATGAAGATGTTCACATCCTGGATAGAAAGGAACGATGGTTTGAGAGAGAAGTTAAGGAGTCCATCTTTGTGAAAAAAAAACATCCATCATTAAATAGGGGTGGAGGCCTCCATGTTCAGTTGTCCCCTGCTTACATTGCTGTTATTGCTAGTATCACTCAGC